GGGCCCGAGCTGCCGCCTGGATTTTGCTCGGCCAGTCGGGTCGTTGCCACGCCAGGCGCCCACATGCAGATCCATGGCTTGAGGACTGCCCGACCGTTACGCACAGGGAGGCCGCGCGCCCGTCAGCATTGACCACGCGGCGGATCTGGGTCGACCTCTGCAAAGTGGCCCCAGGTGTTAGGCGGTGGGCCTGTGTCCAGAGCCTCGGCTGCTGGTGTTCCTTGCTTTCTGCCACTCCCTCGACCCGCCTCGACCTCGCAGATGAGGGTCAGGGGCTGAGCAGGTCAGACAGCCAATTCGAGGGACCTCGCCAAAACTTCCCCTGTCAGGGCGTGGGGTGAAGTTTCTGAGTCATAATAAGGGTACGCAAAGCTTAAGCGAGTACTTTTATATATTATATGTTTTAGGGCTGGGCGGTGCCGGCTGTCCCCCGTGGTCTGGTCTGTAGTGGCACGCGCGCGCTTTTCCGCGGCCTCCCCTTAAGCCTCTCAGCGTCCTCCAAAGGAACCTCCTGGCCTCTGCTGACCCTCGCAGGCGGGAGGTCTCCCGGGTAAAAGGCCGCCGGAGGCGGCCACGGTCGCAAGAGCAAGCAAGCCGATGACCAAGGGCCCGGAAGGTACAGGCTGCGCGGCTCAGGGAGTCCAGCCCGTCGCCTTTTGCCGCCTTCGGAGGCCTTCCACTGCCGGCGCACTGCTGCGGTGGTGAAGCATATCGGAGGCTCTTAGGGCACAGGCAGGCACCTGGAAGGGGGCGCAGGCGGTCCCTTGGGCCCCTTTTGAAGCCTCCCAACTTTGTCGGAAGCCTCTAGGGGACAGCCAAGCAGCTGGGAGGGAGCGAAGGGGGCCGCTTGGCCCCCTTTTTAGGCTTTCCAACTCCGGCAGACGCCTCCAAAAGGGGCCCGGGGCTACCGGTGCCCCCCCCTACGCTAGGGGGAGGCACCGGTAGCCCCAAGCCCTGGAGCATATGTTTTCGCTGAGATATACAGATAAGCATAAGGAGCAAGCTGAGAGAGAGTTCTGGTTGTGCCGGATAGAGTTAGAGAAGTTGTTGATGAGAAAAATGAGTCTGTTGATGCATCTGGGCCTGGGGCAACCCGTTCTTTAAGGAAGAAAGCCAAATACAGGGCACCAGGACCAGGATGCCCCCTCAGATGATGGATGTCACTTTCTCCTATGATCTCTTCGAGATGGACTTCGACTTCTCCTCTTCTCTCTTCTAAACTTACACGGAATGAGGAAGGCGTGTCGATATTTCAGTCTCCTGGTAGACACAGCGGGATCGGAGGGCCGCCTCCGCTTTGATCATTAAGGCTCACAACAATTCATCTTAAGAAGCATCTTCTTGTCCTTTGGTCCCTTTTTGCTTAAGGGAAGGAGAACACGCCACGGATGCACTTAGATGCGAGTTGTGACTTTGGTCTAAGATCAGTTAGCAAGTGGGGAAATCAAACTGCGAGATTTAACCCCCATCGAGTTTGGGAATCTACTCTTGAGTCGTGCTACTCGAATTCGAAGAGCGGCCAGGAAGACTTCTGGCATGGATGCAGTAGATGTTAAGGGTTCACCAATTACTTACATCCCCCACAATCATTCCTCACTCTTTTTCCAGTAGAAAAGAGGTGAGGGATGTTCCAAAGAATGTAATGCTGCAACCTCTATTAAAGATGTAGAAGCGCGCGACGATCTGCCGTGGGAAGAGGCAGTTCTCATTATGGTTCAGCTCTTCGAAGTAATAATGCAAATGCGTCTCACACTCACTCTAGAGCATTCATCTTGGTGGAGAAGTAAGTCTATATTTGTGTTTTGTAATTCTAATTGTAAGTAATCCTATAATCCATCTTATTTATAGAACAAGTATTTTGGCCCTCGTGGTCGTGGAGTACTACAAGCAGTCTATCTTTAGAAGATATTACATATTACAAGGATCTTACATTGCTCTTGGCCACACTTAGTAGAGATCGAGTACAGCGGAAAAACTTGAGGAGCAGCACTGGCCAAATTTTGCCCCTGCCTGCCTAGTGCGGCCGAGACTGCCGAAGATAGCCAGGCTCTGCATCGCGGCGCTGCTTTACGCGTCTGGTCGGGGGTGAAGACGCTGCAGGGCCCGGCCTCTTTGGCGAAGAGTAGGTCTCAAGGCTCTGAGGCCTGAAGCAAGCGCCTCTTCGAAGCTTTTGGTGCGTAGCGCTACTCAGAATAGGCCTGAAAAGCCACTGGCTGCGGCCTTTGAGGCCTGAAAGTCTCAGACTGAATTTTCAGGCTTCTCTTGAGTAGCGCTACGCAGACCAACTGCCCTCAAAAAGAAGCCCCTGGCCTTCGAGGAGTCTCAAACGGTTTAAATTGTCTTGCGAGCGTCGGATCCTCAAACTGAGTATCATCGTCGAGAACCAGTGGCTTTTGCTGTTGTTTTCCTGTAGCTCTACTCACTGAGTAGGGCCAATTCAATGGGTAGAGATACAGGGAAAGGGTTCAAAAGCGACTGGCTTTCAAGGATGATTTCCAATTTGAGGATCCGACGCAAGACCATTCATCAATCAAACTACAACTTGAGACTTCCAGGCCTCAAACGCCAGTGGCTTTTGAGGCCTGTGCTGAGTAGCGCAACTCAAAAAAAGTCTCAAACTCAAGCTTGAGGCTTTCAGGTCTCAGTTACTCAGAAAATAGCGTCAACAGGCCCGAACATGCTGAAGCTTGAGGTCCTCGGGTGGCCTGTGAGGCGTTTTGCTGGCGTTCTCTTGTCGATTGTCTTGGTTCCAGTTCCTTCAGTGGAGCAGCTCAAGTTTTTCCGCTCGTTTTCGAATGCATTCCGCGGGTCATGGGATCGTATCTACATCTTTAGAACATCAAGCATCTTGAACAAGAAGATACTTTCGTTTGCAGGCTGCTTTAGCTTTTCACATTCAACACTATGGATCGGCTACGACTTCGAGTTGGTTGAGCTCTACCTTCTAACCTCAAGAACCTGAAGGAATTTCCATTCTTTGACTGGCCAGTGGGCTCAGGGGATGTATTCTCGAATGTCCCTGTACGTGACGGAAAGGAGTTGATACTGGGATCGGCCTATGCTCTCTGGCCCGACGCTAGGTCAGCAAAAGCAAGAGGCGTCGTGGACAAGCAGGGAAACGTAAGGGCGAGTGAATTTGCGATCTTTGCAAAGGAGCGAACGATGCCCCGGGAACTGGCGCCAAAAATTGCAGAGAAACTACTACAACCACTCCTCTCGCAGTTTCAGTCCATACATCGCTTTGACAACAGTCTAAAAGTAAAAAGAGCTACTAGTAGTGCGACAGCAACAAGAGAAATAGAAACCCAACGACTGGCACGACAGGAGCGCCACGACCTGCAGGACGATGAGCAGTGGAATGCGGATGGGAGTCATAAGTCGAGAGTGCTGGCAAATGGGGAGCTATGTGGCCCTTACCGTCTGGCTTTATACCCGGAAACGTTCGGCTCGGGCGATTCCTGGATGACTGAGTCAGTAGAGGACTTAAAAACGTTTCTCAAAAATTTCATGACCAAGAGCTACACAATAGTGAATGTTTTTACCTCGACATCTTATACCGGCGTTGACCCAGACCGTTATGGCTACAGGAAATGACTTTAATTCATGATCTTTAAGTTTTAACTGCATACCTATATCTGAAATTCAGATTTAGGGTATTCTCGACCACTATATTTATTATAATAGCCTTCAACAAGTAGTTGAAGAGTACAAGACATCAAAGATGAATTAAGGTTTTTAGAGCTAATGGCACAAGACGATTGGCGTCGCAGCACCTCCGCAGCACACGACGAGTAATCAGATCTATGTGGATATCGAAGCTTCTCCGTCTTTCGACGGTGGCTATGATCATTGGAGCCATGCACCAGCTGCAAATCGATATAGTGCTGATCGTCCTTGTATCCGGGACTTTCGTTTTCTTAGAGGAGCACACTTTCGAGAAAATCAAGACGCTCTGACCAGTTTCATGTGGGCCTTCGTCACTTCAGCAACAGCAAGAAAAGGTGGCGTGGTCCAAGATGCAGATGTTCCTGTCAATCGGGAAGATGTTTCTGTCAAGCAGGAGCACATCAGGGAAGAGGACCTCCGTCGAGGAGACCTACCGTTTGATGAACACGGCTTGATGCGCGAAGATGGAGGCCAAGATGGCCCTTCTTCTACGCTGTCGCCCCCTCTTCTAGCCGATCCGGGTACCCGCAATGTTAAGGCAAGGACGAACGGAGCATCCTCAGGACCATCCTACAACTTGCCCCTTTTTCTGCTTGAAAAAGAAGCTCTTCAGAATATGACCCCCACAGAGGATGCCCATGCGGTCTCTATCTGCTCTAACAGTAAGGAAGCCCCCTCTATAAAAAGGTCTACCCGCCTTTATGATTTGGGAGGCTCGACGAGTGCTGTACCCATTAAGGAGCTCCTCGACGATGATCAATATGTGAAGAAGTTTTTAGCACTCACAACGGGCGCTGCAGCAAGCCAGGAGCTAGCTTTTTCAAGTCTGTCGGAGAACATCATCAAAAAGGACGAGAAAGCAGAAGAAGTAGCAGGCTCTTCAGCGATCCAAGTCCAAGTCCAACTATCTCAGCAGGAAATGGAAAAGATAGTCCAAGAATCCAAGGAAGAAGAAAAACAGCCAGAAACAACATTTCTAAAAGGAACAACATTCCTAAGAGGACCTAAATCTAGAAGACCTGAAGGAAGTGGTCTATTAACGACTATGCAGGAGTTCAACGCTAGAGAAAGGCTATTGAGGGGGTATACTACAGCTACCCATACCCATTCTACTCATCAAGAACCTAGTACACCTTCACCTCCTGAAGTAGATCCAGTAGTTGTAAGAAGTAGCACATCAGCTTCTTCTGCTAGATCCTACCAAAAGCAGGATAAAAATGAACGGCAACGGGATGCAGCGCTTCGTGACGAGTACCGGGATAAACTACGAGAATTTCGAGAATATTTCGAAGGGGCACTTTTAGTGGACGCCAGTCGTTGTTACAAAAATGATGATCAACGCGAAGAGAGACTGCCGACTTTGGACAAGGCTGTTGATGAAAGAGCCGAACGCAGTCGGGCTTTATTTGATGAAACGCTTCGCGACGAGTACCAAAATACACTGGAAGGGTTCCATGAGGCGTTCTACGAGAGACTGAATGCGCTTGGTGACAACTACGTTGCTGAACTGGAACTGCTGACTATAACTTTGAATAAGGCTTATTATCGTGAAAAATCTGAAGCTGAACGAGAACGCAATCACGCTTTAATTGAAGATGGTGGCCACCTCGAGAAAGAGAAACTGATGACTTCGGAGGACGCTCATCGTGAAAAGTCGGATCGTTTAGACGAAGCGTCTCGCAAGGGTGACCAACGGCAACGTAAACTAGATGCGTTTTACGCAGATTGGGGACGTAAACTAGAAGCTCTTCGCGACGAATACCAAACAAGTAAACTAGATGCTTTTCGTGTCGAGTGCGAAGGTACGCTGCGGGATTTGGAAGGAATTCTTGATGCGGAGTCCGATCGCAGTCGGGCCTCTGATGCCGAGTTTATCGATGTCTACCATGAAGGTAAACGGAGAGCGTTGCTTGACGCATACAGAGAGAGACAGATTGCGCTTTATGAAGACTCGAATCAAGCTCATGGTGCCGCATTCACTGCGGAAGATGAGGATCTTCGTAAGATTAAGGCTTACTTAAACTTATATTCATCTTGAGAAGTATCCTGGAAGAGATTTCTTTGTACGGGAAAACGACTACCAAGATCGATGCCCTGCAGGATGAACATATGTGAGGGCTAATAAGAGGCGCGAACGTAGTGGCGTTCGCGTTCTTTCAGATGCAGCTCTTCGCGACGTGTACCAAGGTAGACTGGAAGCGTTTCGTGTCGAATACCAGGGTAAACTGGAAGCGTTTCGTAGCCACAACTACGCTCAATTGGGCACTTTGGAAGATGTTTACCATGATGAGTTAGCGAGAAGGCAGGCTTCCGAGGAGTCGTTTCGTGACCTTTACGAACGCAAACTGGAAGCCTTTCGTCTTGACTACCAAAGTAAACTGCAAGCGTTGCGCGACGAGTACCAACAAAGCATGGAAGCGTTTCGGCTTGAGTACGGACTTGAATTGCGAAATCTGGAGGACGAGGAGGTCCAGGCTTTTGATGAGGATCTTGGGGTTGTAGTTTATCATCCAATTGGGGCGGGGGCTGCAGAACAAGCTGGTCCACCAGTGGGAGGCGGGGAGGTTCTTCACCTTCCCCCGCAAGAAGGAAAGTCTTTAGAGGCTCTCGCTCTTCCTTCCTCCTCAGCAAGTCGTCCACATCTAAGTTTAAGAGGTTCTGAAGCAGCTGCTTCAATGATGTTGACGGAAGATGCACACCAAGACTGGCAACGCTATACAGCGCTTCTTGACGAGTACCAAAAGAAGCAGGAAGAGTTTCATGAAGAAGTCGAAGCTCTAGATTATAAGGCTCTCGTAGAAACATCCGAACCACGCAGTGGGGCCCTAGAGGAAGCGCTTTTCGACGAGTACCAGAATACAAGGACAGAGTTTTATGACGCGTTCGACGAAAGTTTCAGTGCATCAAGCGACGACTACTTCGGTGAACTGTCGACTTTACATCATGAGGCTGAGGCTCGTCGTGCAAAATTAGAATTCGAACGCAGTCGGGTTTTGATTTTAGATGGAGCGCTTCACGACCAGTACCAAGATGAGCTGCATGCGCTTCACGACGAGTATCAAGATAGACTAGATGCGCTTCTCTACTACTCGCACCACCGTAAAGTGATAGCGCTTCGCGACGACCATCAAAGTAAACTGAATGCATGCCGCGTCAAGAACGAAGGTAGACTGGCGGCGCTGGCGCCGCATAAGCTTCTTCGCGAAGAGTTTGAGCGTAGCCGGGTTTTGTATGCCGCGTTTCGCGACGCCTATGAAGTTAAACGGGGAGCGCTTGTTGACATGTGTCGTGAAAGATTCAAAGCGCTTAGTGGAGCGTACCATCAAGCTCACCTGGCCGCGATGCGTGATCATCAACATCATCCTACTCGCGGCGAATACCACGGTAATCTGGAAGCGATTGTCGACGAGTACCAAGGTAAACTGGAAGCGTTCCGTGTCGAGTACCAACTTGAACTGGCCACTTTGAATGATGCTTGTCGTAAAGAGTCTGAGAGAAGGCAGGCTTCGGATAAAGCGTTTCGCAACGAGTACGAACGCAAACTGGACGCCTTTCGTGTCGAGTGCCGAGCTGCATTTGAAGCGTTTCGTGTCGAGTACCGAGGTGAATTGGAGGCGACTCGCGCAGAGTGCCAACTTGAATTGGCAACTTTGGAGGAAGCCTTTCTTGTAGAATCTAAACTTAATCTTAAACTTAAGGCTAGAGGTTGCAATTCATCTTTCAGAGCATCCCTGAAAACAAAGTACTTATGAAGGAGTATCCTCATCGCGATAGTACGGTTCAAGGATGCAAATCCAGGATGAATATCGGACAGCCCTAATTATGAACGTCTTGGCGTAGAAGTTGACGCTTCTCCTGCAGCACGTCCTCAGGGAGAGGATGAAGATCTTTCCCGTGCAATTGTAGTGGTTCCCGGTCCCGGAGAAGGAGGAAGCGGTGGCCAATCTTCGACGGTTCTTCATCTTCCGCAAAGAGGAGAGTCTTCGGAGACCCTTGCTCTTCCTTCCTCCTCAGGAAGTCGCCTGCAGCTGAGTTTAGGAGGTTCTGAAGCAGCTCCGATGTTAACGGTAGATGCTCACCACGACACGACGACCCGTGGCCTTAGACTAGGTATTGCGAATGCTACATCACGATCACCATCGGCATCGTCGGCAGCCTCTACAAGTTCTCAGGAGTCCTCGAGGGTAATCGACCCACAGCAGGTTGTTCTCGGTACTCTTACGGCTTACGTATATTCATCTTGTTCTTGAGAGGCAACATCTTTAACGCGCTTTCGCTTTCAAGGGGAAAAATAGGTCAAAGATGCGCTCCGAGATGAATGTCGGTAAGGTCTAATGCTCCTGTTGGGTCTCTGAGTCGCGCTACAACGCTTACGCCGAGTCCTCCTGTTACGTCCTCTGACAAACCTGCTGTCGGTCGTGCTGCAATTCTTGATATTCAGCCGACGTCGAGGAGAGCCGGAAATGGAACTCCCCAAGAAGAGGAGGATGTTATTGGAACTCCCCAAGAAGAGGGGGACGAAGACGGGGACATAAGCAGAGGATCAGGACAGGCTCACCAGGACCAACAGGAGGCAACTAGAAGAGTTGAGAGTCGTAGTAGAGCAGGAAAGAGGTCTTATTTTCAGCTGCAAGACGCCGTTGAATTAACGGAATCAGAGAAGAAGGCCAAAGAAGGGAGACGACACTTTCTGTTAAGGCTTACGCTTAGTCTAATACTAAGTAATATCTTCGAGTATGTAAATCTAAATGAATACGTCCATCATGATCTAGATCTAGCAGTACTTGCACATCTTCTATCAAGGAGGTGGCTTTTTTATTTTTTTGTCCTTGTCCTTCTGAAGGTTCAAGTTATTCTTATTCATATATTCGCGTCTTGTGCTTCTCCTGGTGCCGATTTTATTTCTGTCAAGTCTGCTACTGTCGACGTCGAGTAGTTTTCTACTGTCAACTCTGCTATGTCGAGTTTCCTATTGGTATTGTCTTCTACTTTTTCTAATTCTCGCGGTCCGTGAGATATTCGTACGTGTTTTGGCGTATTTCGCTCAAGTTGCCGGAGAAAGGTGGCAGATAGTAACGCATAAGAAGAACCTGGCCGGAAAAGCGACTGGTACAATGTCTGCGGAAAAACTTACTGACGAGGGAGAACAAGTTTTGTTACGACATCACAGTAAAAAGCGTAATTGAAATTAAGCGGCCTTGCTCGTCCTTACAACTGTTGTGGTCCATGAATTAAATACATCTTTTCAATCCTAGAGTCGTTTATCACATTATAAGAATAAGTAATAAGTAAAACAATCATGACTAGTCGTAGACGTAGTCGCGATCATTATCATTATCTTCGTCTTACATTTTCATCTTCTAATACATAGCGAGCTTGAGCAGTTAGGGGTGACGCCAGTCCAAGTCGTGCGTCGAGAACCTGATTCTACTTCTGCGAAAAGAGCAAGACTTGCATCCGCTGATTCACCAGAGGAAGTAACAACTCAAAAGCTTAAGGCTATTAATGTTGACTCATCTTACTTTCGGTGCACCTGCACCTCCATGTGCACGACCCTCGATGAAAAGTATTCCAAAATTCCTTAAAGCGAAATACTTTCAAAGATGCACCCACAAGGTCAAAGTAGTTAATAAGTCCTTCTTTTTTAGAGGAAGCCGCTTCACGACCAGCAGGTCCAACAAGCTGAATCAAAAAAAATCTACATGAAAAAATGATGCGTATCTTCGTGACGATCCTCTAAAAACAGTATGCTTCTCGTTCGAGGCGATGCGTTATTCAGGCACGACAAGATTACCCGTACAAGCGCGCGAAGGCGACGTGGAGATGACGAGGAAGAAGACGAAGAGGACGATGACGCCTTTTGGGAAAATGAGCTCGGATCGATGAAACCCGAAGAAATTCATGCGATCTTTAACACACTTCAGGTTTAGCCAAATGGGAATAACGATGACCGTAGTAGTTGGGTTTATTGTAGTTGGAGATCTGGAAAAACAATAACGAAAAGGAGCTGGTGACGAAAACTGGAACAAGAAGAAGTGAGATACTATGCTTATGCCACTAACATATTGTTCTTATATGCCCCCCTCATTTTGTTTCAGTTTCTATAAGCCTTAGTACGTATTCAGAAACATCATGAACATCCCATTTCTAGTACTAGTATCATCAACAAGACTAAGATAGACTTGTGAATGTAGTAGAACAACATCTCAGCAGATTGGGTCTCGCTTTATGTAGTAATGTAAAAAGAACATTTGAGTATATGTCGATGTGCAGGTCTTCGTTCATGCATCGTTCTTACAAATACAATGTAATGGGCTTCGGACTCAAACTAGATAGCTTATTCTCGCTGAAAACAGAGTTATCACATGAAGGTTGGGCCCGTTCTTGCTCCTGGAACGAACAACAAGCAATCAATAGACAATCTATTGGCTGGAGAATATTGGATTATATCGGCAAGCATCACTAGAACATGAAAAATAGCGAGATCATCATGGATTTCACAACTACGCAAAGATCGAATAGTTACTAATGTAAAAATAGTACTAATACGCAAGAACAAGCACCAGAACAAGGACTGACTCTTTTCGATACCACTAATTATATTGACAAAAATAGAGACCACGCCACCACAATTATATGGACCGAAAAATGAACCGAACAAGCAGAAGCTAACAAGGTAAAGCTAAATGTATCGACTATTCGTACTCTCCTAAATATTTCTATTCATCCTTGTCTACCAGTCGCTCGTACTTTTAGTTGCCGCAAGAGCAAGAGGAACGCCATTATAGTAATGTACCACTACATAAGAATTTATATTTTTGATGCAGGAGCATAATGAACAACGTACTATCCGGATGTCGACGACGCAGCCTTATTTGTAGTCTTGAAAACGAGGACTAAGTGGATTTAAAACTATCTATCCTTTCATCCCTTGGGGGATGGATGCTAGTTTTCTTTTTTTATAGAGACATGTTCTCGAAGATCGCCTCTCTCTGATGACTGACAGAGGACACACCCACGCACAAGTAGAGACAAGCGCATGAAGATTGATCAAATGTAAGGGACAACTTTAAGCGCATGAAGATTCGCCTTGATCGAATATTTATAAGGGACAAGATATCCAATTGCAATTTTCCTCATCCTGTTATAATGGACAAGATATCAAGTTCTTTGGTAGTCTTAGGTCCGCCTCATCATTATAAGGGTGGACAACTTACTTTTATAGCATTAGCAATAGCATGCGCGTATCGGTGTCGGTTTCTAATTCCATCTTTGATCAGCATGACGTTTTTATCAAATTGACGTTGTCCAAATCTGCAAAGGTGAAATAGAAGCTCAGCTCAGGATCCAGCTCAGCCCAGGAGGAGACAACAACAGAACATCCTGATGAATAATGACAATCTTGGAACTACTACGAGCGGAATGGCATCTACTTTTACAACTTTTATTGCTGCCTGTCCTAGAGGTCCTCCTCCAAGTGGTGTTACAACAGCTTTGTCTACTACTTTCGGAGCTCCTACTTGTGGACCCTCTTCTTCCTCCTCTTCTTCGGCAAATGCAACGGCAAATGCTGCTGAGAGAATGGAAGTTCCGTCTGCTGATTGAATGCGAGTTCTGGGAAGCTCAGCTCAGGATCCAGCTCAGCCCAGGACGGTTCTTCAAGACGGAGAGCTCTCATTCCTGATCTGGATCATCTCTATCAGAAGCAAGGGTCTTTCAGTGTCGTGCCTGTCCTGGTCACAAGAAGGATCAATTTTCCACTATTGAGCGCAAATAATTTTACTGGAGGCTCTCTCAATAAAAATGAACTCAACATTTTTATACATGTTCCCTCTGAAGAGGTAGAGGTTCCAGCTATCTATGGAGAGGGCGCTATCTATGGAGAGGAGAACGAGAAAGTAAGGACAAGAAGCACGAGTCCCCATAATTTGCAAAAGATTGAGGCCCTAAAAGGCTAAGACTGATGACATACATTTTTATGCTCACGGGTTACCCATAGCCATACCCATCTGCTGTTTATGATTTATCAACTAATGGTAATGGTTGTAGAAGTAGCAGAAAAAATAGGATTTCAGCCAACATCATTGTTACTCAACATATTGTAAGACCAAACAGACTGCAGACATCATCAAATGGACTTGAGCACAAGTGAAGGCATATGAGCAATTATATCTCTATTACTAGATAATGATCTCGCTCCTGCAACGTGTCGTTTCTTATCGTATCTATTAATTTCTCTGTTGTTGTAGTTCTAGTTATAGTTTGTTATACTATAACTAGTATATCTAAATTTGTTTGTCAGAGGACTCAGAGCTTGATTGCAGGAAAATGATGTCCTCAGGACGTCCAGGAGTTTCTTCACCTTTGTTGAAGATATTTTTCTTATTGGAGAGGAGCTATGTTGGTTTGGTGTTTGTGGCTGCGGTGCACCACCCACTGCGACCAACAGCAGGACTCTCTCGACCAACAGTTCCGGAATGGCAGACGAGAGTCCGTGGAATGGAAGTTGACGCGGATGGAGGTACGCGGATGGAAGTTGAGCAAAAGGCAGCAATGCAGCCACCGATCAGAGAAGGTGCGCAAGAGAACCCAATGCCAGTAACGGAGAGTCATGCAGATGAGACGAGCATTTTGATGTCGTGTCCATTTGTCTCATTTGCGGAGACGGCCAGGGTACCAGTGGAGCAAGATGGATATGTTGGCGATGAAGGAGTTTGCACTACATCATCATCAAGGACAAAACCAAAGACAACAGGAGGCACCTTACTCCAGAAGCTATCAATAAATGGTGTGGAAGTCTCTCTCTCTGCCGACTCAGATAATTGTTGTAACAAGACGCCTTATCTTGTCGCTTCTGCGAAGAACCATGCGATGTTAGATACGATCTCCTTGACATCGCCGTTACCCACCTCAAAGTCCATCATTTCTGAAATGTATGGAGGATTGTCAACGGAAGGAGAAGGACCACGACCATGGACGACTACAGTGAAAGCAGCTGATGAACTAAAACTTGAACTTCGAAATGCTGCAAAAATAATACTTCTACGTGCGGGACGAGGTTCATTTTCTTGTGAAGATGACCACAAGTTGCTGACAACTACTGCAGCTGGCCTTCGTACGGAGCAGACGGGAGCTTCTCCGATGCAGCCGGACGAGCCCAAGACGGATTCAGATTCTGAGATGATGGAAGAATCGGATAGTAGCGGAATGAGCGACGCCGACGGCGACCGAGAAGTGAAAGAAACGAGTTGGGGCGAACGAAACGAGTTTTACATTTTCCGCATGGTAGACCCGAAAGTGATAACTTATGACAACAAGACATAGTTGACGTTGTAGAAGTTCATCCTGAATCCTGAACCAGGATCCCTGATGTAGTAGGACATATACCTCAGAATGAGGTTCAGGATTCATTTTTCAGGTTGTAATATCTTCTTCACTCGAGCTGGGTTGACATTATTCTTTCCGTGGTCAAGGTCAACCTTGGTCGAGCTTGAGAGCCGTTCATTTTTCGGACTGCGCGCCAACTCCAGCGGAAATACGCAAGGTTTATACTGCCTTAGTCCTTGCTCAACAAGAGCTGAACAAGAAGAAGGAAGATGTGGAAATGAACGTGAACCCACCAGAACCTAGAAGAAGTTGCACAACGACTCCGATGTTGACTGGAACTTGGTACAGCGCCGTAAACTGGAATGTTAATCATCCAAGTGATAGCCGTAGGATTCAGAACTTGAATACTAGTGGAGCAGATGCTCCGGCGTCGTCCCCTGCAGAAGGGTCGTACACGCAGAAGCCAGCTAAGGAGATGATGAGGCCGTTGATTCCTCAACTTTCGAGGGAAAATTTTCTGCAACAGATACAGAGCAGAGGGGCCGATAATGGACGAGATGAAATTACGAAAACCTTCATAAAATGGAGAAGACAGTTTGAGCTGCGTCTTCACCAAACGTGGAAGTTAGGCTTACTTGGAAGAGTAGATGAGCAACTACAACAACAAGACGCAGATGCTGAGCCTGACGGCAACATGATCGAGGATCCGGTGGAGCTCACACGTGCGTGGCTTGCGTTCGAGCAGACCGTCCGACCTATAATTTCCGAGGAATGTTGTGTAGACGGAGTAGATGGAATTCCTACACAATACGAAGGGCAGGAAGAGGAAGATGCAATCATGGCGACAATTTCGGAGCAGTCAGGAACTCTCGATGTCGAACAAGAACGGCAAGGCCCCTCCGTAAGCTCGGTGGAGAAGCTGTTCCGGAAGCTTCGAGTAGAAGATGAAGATGCGTCTTCTGACGGGGGTGAAGATGGTCAAGCGAGAACTGGGTCAGAAGTTTCGAAACTACGGCAGGAGACGATGATTCTTACCCACGATTTGCGCCTCACTCGCCAACTAATGTCTTCGAAGGAAGATTCCGTCATCGTCATGCTACCTCGTCATGATGCTACCGCTCCAGACAAAAGTGAAAAGCGTGAAGACTTCCACTTCCACCGGGAGAGGACTATAAGTCCTTGGGTCAAGATTTTAGAGGAAAATTACGAGCAGGTGGACGAGCAAACACCGACCAGCACTCAAAACGGGGGTGTACAATCTCAACCGCCACTAGCAAAAACTGGGAGCCTGCCATCAAGAGGAGAAAGCGCTTCAACTACATTTGAATGTCCCTCTCCTGCCGGAACCGCGTTCGGTGCATGTCAAAGTGTCGAACAAGAACCCGGTAAGGATAAAGCGCAAATAAATGAAGAAGCAACTATAAAGGCTGAAAATGATGGATCCTTTCTGAGGAGAACTCTCCACGCTGCGCTCTCCATTTTCGCTCTTTCGCCGCCAGCCTATTATATGTATAGTGCTGAACGTAGAGAATTATCGCGTTTTACCGACGACTTTTCTTAAGGCTCTACAAGGCGAAAAGGACAAAGAGTACCTTGTGATTGTGTAGTCTTCATCGTAATTCAAATTCATGTCGATAGAAGAAGTTCTTGTTGTCGAGCTTCAACTTTATGACCTTCAAGGGAGAACTGCAGTGAAGTAAGCATCTTTCGCCCAGCACAGGTGTGATAGTGAAAGGTCGATTTTAACCAAAATTTTCAACCTCTAATTTGCTGCTTTTTTCCTATTGCAGCGAAAGAGAGCAGCAGTGGGCGTAGAAGATATACTAGGAGAGGAGCAAGCGGGTCGTGGACTCGAGAACAACAGCCAGAGGACTATCAACACCAGAACAAGCACTGGGAACATTCAACAATTTAGCTGGTCTCCTTCTATTGCTAGTAGAATAGTTAAGGGTTTCCGACTTGCATTCCTCACTAGTAACATCCCACCTGGCCCTTTTTCTTTTTGAAAAAGAAGCACGGAGGAATGTAAGGAGGAATGTAAAAATTCCGTAACCTCTAAAATAGCAAGAGAAGAAGCTGCTGCTCATTTTAGGAGGCCTCGGATACGGATACCGAGCAACCATCTGGTAGCGTGGCACTCCAAGGCTTTGGGTATGGTAGTACATCCGGACCTCGTTCAGACTGGTATGCTCCGTCTGTGGTCTTCCACGTTGGAAAAATACCAGAAGCGAAACCCTGGTTTCGACCGTGACAAACTCCTCGGACGTGATGAGGGTGATGGAAGAGCCTGCTCTGGGACAAACGAGAGAGAGATGAAGATGACGACGTCGTCAGGAGAGTTCGGAGAAGCGCAACAGCACAGAACGAAGCAGGCTAGACCACGAGTTAAGAGCCCTGGCCCACTTATAATGAGCATATTTGCATGAACCAAAATCCTGGTGCTTTAAGTAGAGTCTAGGATTCATGAAGCACCATGCTGAGCAGCTCTAATAGAAGTGCTATGCCGGAATCGGAAACCTCGCGGAAGATGAGAAGGGTGGAGAAGATAAAAGCCCAAGAACATGAAGATGAAGAGCGAAAGAAGATTATGCTCGCTTTCAGTCGTTTTGCAAGATCTATCGCAGAGAATTCTGAGGTTCCCGATTATATCAGCGACTCCATCCAAGCTTTAGCTGATGAGGAAGACACCCAGCCAGCAAAAGAGGAAAATGCCGAGTACATTAAGGCTTTCGGTTTCGCGCATTTGGTATAACATAACAAGTAACACGAACAGTCATCGCTGCATAAGCATACAACTGTTCATTTTTTTACAAGGGACGACGGATAGGGATGGATTTCTAATTCTATTCACGTCATTGATTGGGCGGTTACACGTACACCTTAATTGTGCACATATCCCAGTGTATTCGTTGCTTCGGAGAAAGAGAATCAGTCTTCCGTCTGGAAAACATGAGACATGCATTTTTTAGAAATCATTTCTAAGAAATGAGTGAGCTAGTAAGTGGAGTGAATAATTGATGTTAAGAACTCTAACGACAATGAGCATCGTGATCCCTATTTCGTTCAAGAGGTCACGACATCAGCACTTCGCTACGGCGAAACCAAAAAAAATGGAAGATCATCAGATGAGCACCAGTCTTCGCGCAGAAGTACAAGCACTACCCGAGGGCAGGACGTCTTAAAGGATAACGAAAAAAACTG